ATTTTTTACTAAACTAGAAGTCAGTTGATAATCTTCTGAGTGATATGTGTCATTTATTTTTCCCTAATACAATTTTTCCTTCTTTTCTTTGGTTCCCTGATTAATCCTCTTTCAACCAAAAAAAAAATTCATCTTTCTTCTTAACTTCCAAATTCTTTGTAAAATGATACTCCCTCCATTTCAAACTATAAGTTGTTTTGGAGGTTTTTTTTATGTTTCAAAATATAAGTTATTTTGATAATCCTAGGTACTTTTTAACTTTATTGAGTATTGTGTGACCAATAGTATTTTGCAGTCGCTTTTTTCATTGGTGTAATTATTTTTATTATATATATAAAATGATACTTTTTAGAAAAATGTAGTTTCTTAATATTCGTAATTTTAGCCAAAACAACTTATATTTTGAAACGGAAGAAATATAAAAATTCAATTTCTGTTATAAATCGAAAACGATAAGGAGCATTGTTTTTTGTGTATCTCAACATAGGTGAGATTCAAAGTTGTGTGCGAGCTTTTTCATCGTAATTAGTTTTGATGCCAACTTTTCATACATTTGTGTGTTTGATTTAGCTATATGATAAACACCACACGTTACAATAAACAGTTTAATAATGATGATGGATTAATAGCATCTATTATGATGAAAACTTCTTAAAAAACAAACGAATTTATATGTTTACAAACAAAGATGGCATCACATCAAATTATGATACCAATTGACAATTGTTGTGATTCTTCTCCCCGGAGAACTTTTGTTTCTTCACTTTTATCCGAACAATGTAATTTTTGTTTCGAGATTAAACCTACAAAACCAATACTAAATCCTTGATGTTAGAAATCGATAAGACAATTAGATATTTTCCTGTCTGTTTTCTAATAAGCCTAAGACAATGAGTATTTATATGTTTAAAACAACCAAAGCTTTGTTGTCTCAATCATCATGTACACTACCGTGGTCTGTGGATTATGATAGATGCAACCTCGTATGAGAAACATGAGTTATCGAGTTACGAGACTGAGATGAAAAGATGAGTCTAGTGACCTAGAATGCACAAGAATAAAAGAGATAACAGAAGAAATCTTACGTAACACTGTTGTCTAAAGTGAGTCAAGTAGCTGATTGTAAACCTCTCTAATGACACATCTTTTGATGTGAAATTCAAACATGAGAGTTCCCAGTGCTTCAGCCTGCAACCTTTACTGCACACATCTCATCAAGCTTTGAGCTCTTATGCTGCAAAAGTTAATTATGGGACAACCGAATAAAAATTTGCTAGGGAAAATACCACTGAGCGAGTGAGCAGAAACATCAAAACTAAGCAACTTACAAGGAGATGACTGCATTGACATCAGTACATTACCTTACTTGTCTTGTGCCTCTGAACGTCATGAAGATCTTCATCCCTGTTTTGTATCCTTTTATGAAAGTTCATTGATAAAGATAGGGTACATGAAGATTCTATAGAATTTGAGATTAAATATATAAAGATAGACAGCCAAGATCTACTAAATCTCATGAACGGAAAGTTAGAAACCAACAATGGACATAGTCAATCGTCAAGAACGTATCCCAGCTCAAAGAAATGGGAGAAGACTTTAAAAATAAGCTATTATATGGAAAGAAAGAGACCAACAAGACCAGTCGGTTCTCTTACATAATCATGGTGTGAACTTTTTTCCTTCTTTCAGTCTCTTATCTTTGTATCTCTATGCTCATGCTTGGCTTCTTATATTCTCTATCTATCTTCTTGTCCATGTCTTTTTCGTCAATGCTTTATGTCCCAATCTTTTGACTCGCTTTTTGATTTTAATGCAACAGTAAGAGCTCCTTTTCTGCATGAAAAAAGAGCAGGAGATATTATATTCTCATACTTAGGTCAACCATCATCACATGGTACTTAGAAGTAATTCTACTTATTATGCAATAAATCATGGTTAATAAAGATCTGAACTTTACATGAGATTAGACAAGCATCACATAGTCCCATTTTTTAATACAGCCTCCTCATGTGAAAGGAAGAAAAAGGTAAGTCTATATAGAGGGAGTAGATTTTTACTGGAAGCAAATCAACAGGAGTTGTTTCATTTAGCTCGAAAGTCTCTTTAAGTTCATGTAGAACTAAAGGTTGAATTCACTTTGATCTGCACTTAGAAGATCAATAAGCTAACTGACCCCTTGCAAAGAAACAAAATAAACAATCCCAACCTAATATGGAGAAATATTATTATGATAATTAGCAAAGAGAATTAATCACATTAATCAGCAAAATGATGAACAGAGTGATCCATTAAATTTAAAAAGAATAGCCATCGATAACAGACTGGTATATTGCAACAAAACATGCACAAAAAAACTTGAGAATAGCAAAGCTTGAACCAAATTTTACCTCAAAACTTCACGCCCACTGATTCCATATCTTTTATTACAAAACTAATAGCTTTACCATGACGATCAACTGCAATTTGTAGCAAACGAAAATAAAGAAGCAAATGCCTCAAGAAACCATTGGATGCAAAGGAAGAATCAAAGCACATAAAATAATTTGCAAATCTAGATTAGACATTGTTTGAACATAGAATGTTGAGTCTAAGCAACTCGAACATACAACTATAACATATGATTTTGCAGAAGTTGTTATACTTGCATTGAACACATTAATCACACAGATAAATGCATATTTGGCAAGAAAGTTCAACGTCAACTACTCCGCACTCTGATGACTTGTAGTGAATCATGGTAACTGAAGCCCTGAATGAATGGGAGAAGAGAGTTAACAAAGAAAACCAATGCATACTTCACGTTGGTGTTAGTGTGAGAAGATAAGAACGTAGACTTGAATAATGTCACCTTACCTCCACATATTTAATCCCATAAAAGATTTCCCAATTTCAACATAAACAAAACTTCAATTCTCAGTTAACACAATATTGATAAGACCTAATCCACAAACATTTCTAAGCTAGGAAATAATGATAAGAGGATACTACAACCTACAAGCATTCCTCATCGATGTGGCAAGCTTCCAAAGAATTGTAAAACTCACTTTAGACAAATGCGGCATGCCTCAATACCTTGAACTGTTTGTCGACTGGATCATATGCCCCAAAATAGTTAAATTCACCTCAGCAAGACCACAATTTTCTATTATGGAGTGTGCAGCGGTGGATTGGGATCGGGATCTCAGACAGTGTAGCAAGAAACTTTGAGAAATACATCAACAAAATAAGAGGAGAACAAATAACCTGAGGAAGCCAATTATTTATGGGCAATCGATCTATCCGAGATCGGAAATCGATGAAAATCTGTGAAATAAAACCCATAAAGCGGAGAGACTTAGAGGGAGAGAGCTTACATATTTGGATGTGTCGACGATTGAAGCAACCCTTATCTGCTCTTGGAGAAGAAGG